ACAAATAGAGGAAACGCTGTTTGGCATGGCGGTATAAATATAAATAAATATTTATTTATTTATATTTCTTTATATTTATTTACTTTCAAACCTTAGACCCAAAGTCTGTATATGCTTGTATGGTCTGTGTATATACGTAGTTTCTGGTGTTCGTGTGTATCTGGCTTGCATGCAAAAATTTGCGCATCAACCAACGCCCGACTTAGATGAATTTCATTTCTCGCCAGTTAACATCACACGCCCAGGATCTCGATGCATTCAATAAATATTTTACCCTTAGCAGCTGCAGTTTTTTAAAGTTTGACACTTTGTTGAGAGAGAGTTTATAGTTGCCAATATTTGGGACTATTTTTCTTTTATGGCCATCTTTGTTTCATCACTCTCAATGAATAACAAGTTTTTGTTGAAACTCTGTGACCAATCAGTTGCAATGCCTTCTCATTGGAGGTGTTGCCATGTGGGACCAAAGGCTTTTAAAAATATAATAATTTTTTTAGAGTTAAGGTTAAGTTTTACACAGTCTTGAGATTAATTATTAAAATTGTTTAGCTTTCCTACAACATAACATTTGGCAAATTTTAAATAAAAAATAACTGTGGTTTACACTATAAAAATGTGTTTAAAAAAATATTAAACAAACTAAAGTAAGTAGCCAAAAAAAATTACCAATGATCTGATGACTAGTTGAAAAGTGTCAACATTTTTATCAGTGATAAAAAAACGTTAAAAAATTGTAGAAATTGTTGAATGTTTCACGCGTGTGTGTCATTGATGATCTCACGCTGTGACATCCATCCATTCATCCATCAGTCTTCCGGAAATGGAAAATTTCGAAGCATTTCAAACATGCCAATTTCGTTTTTAAAAAAAGTTATATGCGGACATGAACGAACGTTGTAAGACACCGTCACATTACAAACAAATTGCATTGCATCCGATATTTGGCTACATTATGTCAGTCAGATTTTATTGTGTTTACTTTGATGTATTCGGGACTTAGTTGGTTTTAATCGAACTATGAATTTATGGATTACTTTTTTGAGTGTTGGGAATTCCGCTTAGTTAAGATTTACTCTTTTGGAATGCCCCATTATGTAACAAATTTATTGTTTGTTCATAATAAACGAATAAAAAAAAATTAATCGTTTGCAATTTTTTTTTTGAATAAATTAAATAATAACTTTTATCATTCGTTTTAATAAAATTTTATAAAAAAAAAATATTTATCGTTATTAAAATTATGATATATGAAAAATATGAAATATGTAAAAAAGACTCGAGACATGCGAGATATGTACGGTACACGCGAGCGTTATGTAAACAACATCAATGTACTTGGTGAATGATGATTGATTGGCACTGTGGGTAGATACTTTTGTTTATAGTTCTAATTTAATTAATTACACAAAAACGACAAAAATAATGATATTAAAGTCAATATTAAATACATTTATGTTATTGTTAGTATTATTGATCTTATTATTGTTCTTATTATTTTATTATTGTCTTATAAATTTCTGAAGAATTAAACAATTTAAAACATAACCTAACACTATCATTGGTAAAAGCAATGATCCACATCAATCATTGATGACACCAACATCAACACTAAACTTAAAAATCAACAGAAAGAAAAACATCATGCAGTTTTTATATCACCATCCTCAACAACCTAATCAAAAATTTTCAATTACCAAATTCCACCATTGTCACCATTATCATTGTCGTCATCATCGAGCCCATCGTCAGCGTCAGCGTCGTAGCAATCGCAAGAGCATCGACTGCACGATTATTTTTATTAGGCATGTAACGTCGATCAAATCATTTTTCAAGTTAGGGTGCCAAACGATGGCGTATCTTGATGGATTGCATTTCTACATTTTGTTTCGTTCAAAGTTTTCAAGAAAAGTTGCAATAGAGAAAAGGTTTTTACCCAATCGTGATTTTTTTTTAAATAAAATATCAATGATATTTGCATAAGCACAAAATATCAAAGCATATTTTTGAGGGGTCCAAAAAATTTTTGAAAAAACAATTTTAATTATGTCGTCACGAAAGGATTGCTCTTTGGTTGCGTAATAAAAAAAATTGACTTGCACGCACAAAAAAGAAACAAGGAGGTTTTTATGAAAGCCAAAACGTCAGTAGTTGGT